AACGCCTGATGGTTGGTCACGTCTCCCATCACCCCAAGATGGGACCGTCTAGGTGCAGGAAAACAGGCTCAGGCCTCCCACTGATTCTACATGATGGTGAGTATGTATAATTATTTCATTATATATTGCAATATAATAAAGTGCACAATAAATGAAACACACTTGAATCACCCCGAAACCATTTTCTTCCTTATGCTGCCCTACCCTTGGTCTGTGGAAAAATTGTCTTCCTCAAAACTGGTCCCTGGTGCCAAAAAGGGTGGGCACTGCTGCTCTAGAAAGCCAAAAAGTTAAGAAAATGGATCCTCTCCAGGAGCCTTCAGAACAAACCAGCCCAGCCCATGACCTGTTTTTATTGTTTGTTTGTTTGTTCGTTTGTTTTTTGAGACGGAGTCTCACTCTGTCACCCAGGCTGGAGTGCAGTGGCGTGGTCTCAGCTCACTGCAACCTCCACCTCCCAGGTTCAAGTGATTCTTCTGCTTCAGCCTCCTGAATAGCTGGGACTACAGGCGCCCGCCACCATGCCCGGCTAATTTTTTTGTATTTTAGTAGAGAGGGGGTTTCACCATGTTGGCCAGGATGGTCTCTGTCTCCTGACCTTGTGATCCGCCGGTCCCGGCCTCCCAAAGAGCTGGGATTTCAGGTGTGAACCACCACGCGGGCCTCACAACCTGGTTTTAACCCCATGAGACCCATTTCATGCTTCTGATTTGAGAACTGTGAGATAATAAGCTTCTGTTGTTTTATGCTACTAGGTTTCTGATAATTGTCATGGTAGCCAAAAAAAAAAAAGAGTACCATGCATTTTGAGAAATTGATTTATCTCCTCTAACTCATTAAATTTATTATCATGAATTTGATCATAGCATTCCCTGAATAAGCTTTTAATGGCTACAGGGCCAGTAGTACTAATACCCTGTTACTTCTGATTGTAGAAAAGTTATTTCTTCTCTTTACTTTTATCATTTTGCTACAGTATTGTCATTTTTAAAAAACTTTTCTGATGAACAAGCTTTTTGTTTCAGAAGTTTTCTCTATTTTCCTTTGTTCAGTTTTATTGATTTCTGCTCTGTCATATTTGTATTATATATAATATCATTTATTATGTATGTATTATTTTCTTCCTTATGCTGTTTCATTTTATTGTGATCGTTTTCCAGCTTCTTGACAGAGAATTGTTGTCAATTTGAGACTCTCTCTTCTAACGTAACCATGTAGTGCTGTAAATACACCATCATCACCGTAGTATTGCACGTATGTTGATATGTTGCATTTTCACCTTCTTCCAGTTATCTTTTTTTTAAAAAATATCTTTCGAGACTTCCTCTTTGGCCTATGAGTTATTTAGAAGTGTCATGTTTAATTTCCAAGTATTTAGCGAATTTCCTGTTGTTCTGTTCATGATTTCTAGTTGGATTCCTTTATAATTGGAGCACATGCTCTGTAAGATGTCAATTCTCTTCATTTTGTTTGGGTTTGTTTTTCTGTGCCAGGATATGATCTATCTTTGTGAATGCTTCATGGGCGCATGAAAATAATTGTGTGTTCTCCTGATGTTGGCTGCAGTGTTTATGCCAGTGAATTCAGTAGGTTGATCATGTTGTTCAGATCTTCTCTGCGCTTGCTGAATTTTTGCCTCATAGTTTTATCAGTTCCTGAGAAGGCAGTGAGGACATCCTCAACTCTAACTGTGGGTTTGCTGATCACTGTTCAACTCCATCCGGTTTACTCCCCGTGCATTTTGAGACTCTGTCTTTTGTTGTATTTCCATTCAGGGATTATGTGTCTTCCTGGTGTACTGATCCTTTTATCCTTGTTGACTAGGGACCCATTCTGTTAGTTTTCCTTTTTCATCTTTAATTTCCTTCATTCCTGAAATATAGTCTCACCGGATGTGGCCTCCACAGTTGATAGTTCCTTTCTTTTGGCCCTGAATGTGCGTGTCATTTCCTTCTGGCCTCTGCTGGCGCAGTTGAGAAACCCATTGCCATTTGAACTGGTATTTTCCTACAATTTAATGTCTTTTCTTTCTGGCTAATTTCAAAATTGTTTCTTTGGCTATATTTTTCAGGTTTTTGACCATCACATCTGTCTTGGCATGGATTTCTTCAGGTTTATGAGGTTGAGCTTCACGCAGGGTTTTGAATCTGTAGGTTTATTTCTTTTGAAAAATTTGGAACTTTTACAACTGCAATTTCTGGGACTATTTCAGCCCTACTGTCTCGTTTTTGTATAAGACAGTGGTAAATGCATCTTTGACCTTATGAGTGTCCCATAGGTGCCTGAGGTTCTGTTTCTGTTCTTTTTATTTTTTTTTAGTCTGTTTTTTTTCTCTCTCTTGCCCAAATTTGGAAAATTCTCCTAAACTATCAAGTCCACTGATTCCATCCTGTTTCATCTCCACTCACTATTGAGATCATCCAACAAGATTTTACTTTCTTTAAACACCCACACCATACACCCTTGATGATTGCAGCTGTGTAGTTAACTTCAAAATTGGGTCCTCCAACTTCGTTCTTCATTTTCAAGATGGTTTTGGCTATTCTTGGTTCATGGTATTTCCTTAAAAGGCAGATCCACTTGCCAATTTCTATAAAAAGGTAGTGGGGTGAGATAGAAATTGCATTGAATCTCAAGGTAAATTGGAACATACTGCCATTTTAACATTACCAAGCCTTATAATGTATGAACACAGGTTGTCTTTGTTTATTTATGTTTTCTTTAATTGCTTTCAATGATGTTTTGTAGTTTTTCAGTTGTACAAGTCTTGTTCTTTTTTGGTTAAATTTATTCCTTAGTATATTATTCTTCTGATGCTATTGTAAATGAAATTGTTTTCTTAACTCATTTTTGGATTTTTAAAAATTGCTAGCATGTGGCATTAAAATGAAAATTTGTATATTGATCTTGTGTGCAGTAATCTTTCTGAACTCGTTTATACACTCTAGTGTGTGTTTGTGTTTTGTCATGAAAATGTTGCATTTCTCTCAGCTTATATTATCCATGACTTTTGTCCTTTATTCTATTAATATGGTGTATTACATAGATTGGGGTTAAGTATGTTGAAACAACCTTGCATTACTAGGATAAATCTTAGTTGGTCAAGATGTATGATTCTTTTTATTTGCTGTTAAATTTTGTTTGTGTGATTTTTTTTTTGAGAGCTTTGCATTTATGTCTTTAAAGGATATTGCTCTATATTTTTATTCTTCTCTGTTGTCTCTGGCTCCATTGTCGGGGTAATGCCATTCTTATAGAATGAGTTAGGAAGCTTTCTCTTCTTCTCTATTTGTAGAAGTGTTTGCGATAAGTTGATGCTAATACGTCTTTTAAGTTTGGAAGGATGCACCTGTTAGATCATCTGGTTCTGGTTTTTCCTTTATATAAAGTTTTTTGATTATGGATTCTATGTCTTTGCTTATTATGCATTTATTCAGATTGCTGATTTTTGAGCCATTTTTAGTAAATTGCATCTTTCTAGGAATTTGTCCATTTAGGTTATATAATTTGCTTATTTTTTATTCCCCGTTTCAGCCCTGATCTTTATTATTTCCCCTTCTCTTCCTACAGTGGATGTAAATTGCTATGTTTTCCTATTTTTTTTTTAGATGAAAGGTTAGGTTATTGATGCCAGTTCTTTCTTACTTTTCTTAGAAATGTTTACAGCCATAAATTTCCCTCTACGCACTAGTTTAATTGCATCGCATCAATTTTTCTATGTTGTATTTTCTTTTTTATTCTTCTCAAAGTATTTTCTAATTTCATTTGTTATTTTCCTCATTGTTTATTCTTGCAGCGTGTTAATTTCCACCTTTAAAAAACTTCCCTTGTTTCCTTTTATTTTTAATGTAATTTCTTTGTTGTTGGAGAACATACTTTGTGTAATTTCCATCCTCTTAAATTAATTGAGACATGTATTATGACTTAATATATGGCCTATTCTAGAGAATCTTCCATGTGCACTTGAGAGTAATCTGTACTCTGCTTTTGTTGGGTGAAGATTCTGTAGGAATCGATTGGTTTTGGCTGATTCACAGTGTTTTTCAAGTCTTGTATTTTCTTGTTCATATTCTGCTTATTGATTTGAAAGTTGGGTTATTAATTTTCCAACTATTATTATCATATTGTTTCTTTATTGCTTCAATTCTTTCCATTCTTCAACGTATTTGAGACTTTCTTGTTGGATGCATATATGTTGATAATTGTTATTTATTCTGAATGTATTGATCCTTTATTATAAAATGTCTTTCTTTTTTTAGTAAAATATTTTTTTGTCTTAAAGCCTATTTTTTCACAAATTAGGATGCCCTTCTAGTTCTTTTTTGTGGGAGCAGGGGTGTCTTTGCATGAGATATCTTTTTCAGTTCTTTTACTTTCACTACCTTTTTGTCTTTGAAGAAAAACTATGTCTCTTATAGAAAACGTAGTTTTATTATGCTTTAAAAAATTCATTTGGGCTATTTCTTTTTTAAATTGGATTGATCAATTTACATTTAATGCTATTATTCATTGGATTTTAATTTGCCATTTTGCTGTTTTCTGTATGTCTTACATATTGTTTGTGTTTCAATTCTCCTATTACTGTCTTCTTTTGCATGAAATCTATAGTATGCCATTTTAATTTCCTAGTTATATATATACAGATGTGTCATATATATGCATATACATACACATGCATACGTGTGTGTGTGTGTGTGTAGTTTTAGGGGTTGTCCTGGGTATTATAATGAGCAATACACATGCATATGTGTGTGTGTGCGTGTGTGTGGTTTTAGGGGTTGTCCTGGGTGTTATAATGAGCATTTTCACTGTAACAATCTGGTTTGGGTTAATAGAAAATTAACTCCAACTCATAGGAAAGCATGGTTCCTTTATAGCTCTACTTCTCCCCAACCCTTGTCGTTATTTTCACATGAATTTTATACCTTACACACCCAGTAACACGGATTTGTAATTTTTGCCTTATGAAGTTGGTTTTTGAATCAAATAGGAGAAAAAAGTTACCAAGAAAAAATATTTTATTGTCTTTGATTGTTAACTGTGTAATTTTCTTTATGGGCACTTTTTGTTCCCTCATGTGGATTGGAGCTGCTTTGTACGGTCTGTTCATCTCAGCCTAAAGGACTGTCTTTTGTGTTTCTTATAAAGCAGGTTCTTTGTTGGTTTGGTGTTGAAATGTCTTACACTCACCTTAATTTTTGAGGTCAGTTTTGCATCAGATGGTGTTCTTAGTTGGCCCTCTTTCTTTTAGCACTTGGAAGATGCTTCCTACTGTCTTCTGGCCTTCATGGTTTCTGATGGGAAATCAGCTGCTTATCTTACTGACTTGGCACCTTAGGCAATTTAAAATTCCATAATAATGCTGAAAATTGTGTAACATATCTCAAGGGTTAGCACTCTTTAAATAATTTATTTTTTGTTGCGTATTTACATTTATGAATTTATCAAACACCATCTTTAGAATTATACCTTAAATGCTTATTGATTTATTATTTATAATACAGTTTCTATAATTGCTTTCCATATTATTTATGATTGACATGCCGATGACTATGAACAATCACAGCTGGATCATTACATATTTTCCCATCCCCCAGAAGTGTTACCAACACTCATCCTGCTATTATTACTTCTGAGACAATGAACTATTTCCTTACTTTGTAAAGGAAGCAAGTTGATGTTACTTGTCTTGACAGGAGTCTCGTGTGTCCCATGGGTATTTTGGTAAGCAGGATTCTAATTGCATCAAGACACTGACGCATTATCAACTCACAGAGTCAAAATGGGGACAAAGGAAGTAGATAAAAGAGAGTGTACGGTTCGTCTCCTATGAGTTGTTAAGAACAACAAACTCTTGTAATAAAAATTACACATTTTGGAAATTGTAGCATTAAAAATATGCTTGTCTAAGAAGCTTTAAGTAAGTCAGTAAATATACAACTATTACTGGTATTATTTCTTCCCCTGAGTACCCAGCCCCTCAGAAGTTAGCACGGTACACATGAAAGGGATAGCGTAACTGTCAGTGGAGACTGCAATGCGTTTCTGTTCTTCAGGCAAGGAGCATGACAGCAGGCCAGGAATACGCAGAATCCATACGGGTCACCCTGTGATTGTGGTCATAGGTGCACACTGGAGATTAAATTGTGCAGCTTTCTGCAAGGGGCAAAAGCACCTGCCTCTAAGTAGGAAAAGTCCCTAATAAACTATTCACTTGGTCTTTGTATACTCATAACCAATGGAAGGTAAGTTCTATGGAAAAATCTATAAACATGAGAAGGACATGATGTAGTCATTAATATTCGGGGACTCCACATATGTGTTCAAAAGAGTGGGAGATGAGTGGATTGTGCTCAAGATAAGAATGAGATTAGTTATCATGAGGGGTTGATACAGCAAGAATAGAAGCATTTTGCAGAGTTGTGGTTTTCTCTTTTAGACTTTGCTAAGAATTCTATTCCTGTAAGTGGGGCAGTGACAACGATTTATAAAATTAAGAATCCATCTATCTGGCCAGGCACGCCGGCTCACGCCTGTAATCCTAACACTTTGGGAGGCCGAGGTGGGAGGCTCACTTGAGCTCGGGAGTTTAGGACCAATCTGGGTAACAGTGAGACCTCATCTCTCTCTCTCTCTATGTATATATCTACATAGATCTATATAGATCTACATATAGATATGTATTTCATCTATCTAGAACTCACATCTACGGATGGATGTTCTTTTTTTCTCCTCTTGTTGGCCTGAGGTGTGGTTACTGTAGCACATGGTTTCGGGGCATGCTAGTTTTACCAGGGCTACTGTTATGCATTACTTTGAGCTGGGTGGCTTAACACATCTAAATTTAAATTGACCGTCTCACAGTTCCAGAACTAGAAGTCTGACGTTCAGGCGTGAGCAGGGTCGTGCCCTCTTTGAGGGCTCCAGGGGAGGAGCTTCCTGCATCTTGCCACTTCTGGTGGCTTCTGACTTTCTGTGGCTGTGTCTGCATCACTGCAGTCTCTGTGTCCGTGTTCACATGGACTTCTCTTCTCCATGTGTGTCTCTCATAGGGACACTTGCAATTGAACGTTAGGTAATCCAAGATAATCCCATTTTGAGATACTTAATTTAATTATGTCAGCAAAGGCTTTCGTCCCAAGTAAAGTTGCATTCATAGGTTTTGGGAGTTAGGATGTGAACGTATCTTTTTAACTTTATAGCATACCATAAGTGATATTTCTTGGCTATGAAATAAATGATAGACAAAAGGCCTAATGAAGACTCTCACAAGGCCAGCAAGGCCAACATTATGTGCCGCTCAATAGTAGATAATGATAAGGCCAGGGGACTTTCTTTGTCTCCATGACAACCAGAGCCGGAGACTTCCCAGAGACCTCACAGGACAGGACTTTCCAGACTCCCAGAGCAACCTGGCCCAGGGATTGTTAGTTCTCTGTGAAAAACAAGACATTAAACCCTGGTTGCAGCTGGGCACGGTGGTTCACGCCTGTAATCTCAGCACTTTGGGAGGCTGAGACAGGTGAGTCGCTTGAGGTCAGGAGTTTGAGACCAGCCTGGTTAATATGGTGAAATGCTGTCTCTACTAAAAATATAAAAATGAGCTGGGTGTGGTGGCGGGCACCTGTAATCTCAGCCACTTGGGAGGCTGAGGCATGAGAATCCCTTGAACCCAGGAGGTGGAGGTTGCAGTGAGCTGAGATTGCACCACTGCAATCCAGCCTGGGCGACAAAGTGAGACTTTGTCTCAAACAGACAAACAAAACCCCCTAAAAACCTGGTTGCCCTGGAAACAAGACCACTGAAGCACAGATGCAGCTTCCATAAACCATAAAGCAAAGCTTATCCTTACAAAACCATCTTTAACTCCCTTTATGAAAGAAACACCTGGTAACTGGCACAGACTGTAAACAGGTGAGAGAGAAAAATATGAATCCCTTAAGCTCTGAGAATGGTCTCAGAGCCAAGAGCCTCCTGCTCAGTGGTCGTCTGACCCCTGACTGTGCCTGGCTCATGCCACCAGCCTGTTCTCACTCCACTTGTAAGAACATGCCAAATAAACTGGCTGAGTATCAGTGTTTAAGACACATGTTTGAGGAGAATCAGACTAAAGGGAAGAAGGTGCTCCTGGGGAATCTGCTTGGTTAACTAGGACCACCCAAGACCCCCAAACACAAAACTCAGGACACTTCTCATCCTTCAACCCACTGAATAGGCCAACGCCTTGACTACTGACCAAGGCAGAAGATGCATTTAGGCCAGCGTTTTATGAGATCTCAAAGAGGAACTCCAAAGCCAGGGGCCAGGGAGAAAAGCAGCCTCCAGGATGGTGGGATGGTCACTGTTTCAAGAACTGGCTCCTTACATTTTGGAAAGACAAAATTCCAGATCAGAACCATCATGAACTGGCAAAGGAGAGCAATAGAAGAAAAGTTGCAACTCATAGGTAATCGGATTTTAATTGCTCATATCCAAGCAAAGTCTTATCTCATAAAATGTTCTAGTTTATTAGATTTTGATATGCATTGAAAAAAAAATTCCAAGAAGTAATTGCCTCTGGAGACCAATTGCCTTAGGATGTCTCCAACTAAAGTTAATCCAAATGAACAGTGAGCTGTAGTATCAGAAGCAGAGAGACAAGTTTGTCATGTAGGGTACATTCTTTGTGGACTTCTGTAATACTCAGACATATTATAAACCACCTAAACAGTATTCCTGGCCAGAAGAGCCATTGTCTCTTTTAATTTGTACCTGTACTAACTAGATAGTGCATTTCTATGCATGTCTAAAATAGAGACAGAAACAAATTTAAAAACACTTGCTGGAGACAACCGTGCCATCCATGGGGAATAGCATAACTCTTCAAAGAAAGACACTTTTCCTCTTTTACGGGCATTCCATGTTGAAATATTCTATGAAATATGCCAGTTCAATTTCGGGAATGGTTTGGTCTCATTCAATTATTTGGTGAAAATTTAAAACTCTGCAAGGATTAACCCATAAATCTGGCTATTCACATTGCCAGACCAAAGATAATGTTCACATAATAATCCTGTGACCCTAGGACAATTCTGAATGCTGGTCCAGTAGAAATTATTTTTAAAATGTCCAGGGGCTTTTGTGAGTTATCTAACTAAGTTATAGAGGGTGCCATGAGATCTGGTGCATATATAATTCATAATTTATATGAGAAATAGATTAACTTTGCTCAGCATTTATTGGATCTTTCAATATAATAAAATATTGTGGTTCTTCTATAATCTATCATTTTGCTGAGTCATATCAGGGCCTTGTTCCAAGAAAATTGCTGGAAGTGGGAGAGGCAAATGGCAATTAAACCATTATTGCAGTTGGCTTTTGCATGGTGTAGCAGAAACTAAACTTAATGTGCTCCAAACAAAATTTATTTCTCTTATTCCTACCTCCCAACCTGCTTCCCCCACTATGGCCTGATTTAGACAGGGGACATCAAAATGCAGGTCAGATAGCCAAGCCAGAACCTAAAATGCAAGCTCAAAAATTGTGCCTTTTTTCTCTTTAACCTCAGATTTAAAAATTTTAAAAACTAGTAAGTTTTAAGTTTTAGAGCAGTTTTAAGTTTACAGGAAAAAAAATGCAAGCTCAAACATTTTGCCTTTTTTCTCTTTAGCCTCACATTAAAAAATGTTAAAAACTAATAAGTTTTAATTGTTAGAGACATTTTAGGTTTACAGGAAAATGGTACACACGTACAGAGAATTCCCGTGTGCTGTCTCTCCTTCCTCCCACAATCTCTCCTATTGTCATCTTACACTGGTGTGTACATTGATTACCACTGATGAACCATTATTGACGCATTAACTAAAGTCCATCGTGTACATTAGGGCTCTGTGTCGTGCAGTTCTATGAGCTTTGACAAGCATACAGTGTCATACATACACCACTACAATCAGAACACAAGACGAGATCTCAAAAACTTCTAAGTGCATACAACATTAACTACAGGCACTATGCTGCACCGTGGATCCCAGGAGCTTATCGTCACACATACCAGAAACATTTCACCCCGTGAACAAACCCTGTTCCCCTCCTCCTCCTCCCCCAGCCCCGGCACCCACCACTCTACCCTCTGCTTCCTGAGTCTGACTGTCTTCGGTAGCTCCTGCAAGTTCAACAGGACAATATTTGGCTGGACCTGGAGGACATTGTGCCAACTGAAATACGGCAGGCACAGAAGGAGAGAGTCATTCATTCTTTGTGATTATATCTTTACAAGAAGTCCTGGGATAACACAGGCATGGAAGATCTGTTTTTCTGAGTGAATACAGAATATTAATAAGAGCAAACATTTTATACAGTGAGAACAGCCAGCCGGTGGCACAGGCTCTGGTGGGCACTGGGGGTGGGCAGCCGTTTCCCCTCCAGGACAGAGGATACATTCCCCATGGTTGTCAGCTGTCAGATGCCTCCCATGTCACTGCTGTGGAGAGCTGCCTGGCCCTCAAGGTTATGGCCTTCCTGGGGCAGCCTCCACTCCAGACAGGGTGTGAAAAACCCAGCCCCTCAGTGTAATTCAGAACAACTCAACACCATCCCAGCTCCCCGTGTCGGGGGAATGGTCCCTCTTGAGGCTGTGTCTTGGCCCCGCTTTTACCTTCTCTCTATTGATCCCAAGAGAGCTCCCTTCATGTAAATAAGCCCTGACATATGCTGGTCTTCACCTTAAAGTCAGCTTCGAGTGGAGTCTAACCTGTGACACAGGCTTCCACTACTTTGCAGGAGAATCAGGAGAAAATCAGATTGTTCTGCGAAAAAATACAAAACAAAATTGTTCCAATTGATAGGATGACTTGGTTGCCCTGTGGGGAGTGGGATGGGGAACAACGGAAATTACATGAATAAAGCGAGGGTCTCTCAGGTGCGCTTGGTAGAAGGAGGAGACGGCAAAGGTACACCCAGGCTTCACGAAACCCTGTGCGATAAGTACTAGCATCACGCTTCATGGTGAGTAAACTGGGCCCAGTCAGACTAGATAACCTTCTACGGTCATTTCGCCTGTGAGCTGCAGACTCACAAAGAGCAGGCTCTGTTACAAGACATTATCTCCCGGCTCAATCAGTGGTAAAGGTGTTGTTTATGTGATTTCAGCCGTGTGATCCTCAGAACTTCAAGTTAGGGCAGAGGAGGTCAAGACAGAGTGATTGTATTCTCTTATTTTTGTGATTTTAGAGGCAGGGTCTCGCTCTGTCGCCCAGACTGGAGTGCAGGGTGTGATCACAGCACCCTGCAGCCTCTTACTCCTGGACTCAAGAGATCCTCCTACCTCAGCCTCCAGAGTAGCTGGGACTATAGGCACACAACACCATGACTATTAAAAAAAATGTGTAGAGATGTGGTCTTGCTATGTTGCCCAGGCTGGTCTTTAACCCCTAAGCTCAAGCAATCTGCCCACCTTGGCCTCCCAAAGTGTCGGGGTGGACTGCAAGTCACCAGGAGCTCCGTCCTCAGCAGGACAGGAGAGCTTCTTGGACAGGACTTAAGTGGCCTCTTTAGAGCACACCCACATCTCTACAGAGAGAGCCAGCGCAGACCCTGAGGGAGCTGCAGGCAGCTGATGGCAATCAGGGCGTCGCTACGGGGGAAAACCTTTAGGCTGGTTTCCAAGAGGGCTGCCGGAGTGGCGGTCATTCTCTTCTTAAATTCACCCTTGTCTACGTTCTGAGTTTGTTAATACACAAGAAACCATATCCATTTCTCAGCGGTAGACACAACCAAGAACTGAGTTCGTTAATACACAAGAGAGCGTATCCATTTCTCAGTGGTAGACACAACTTAACCAAGAGTGTAATACAAAGAGTGTAAAACAGAACGTGCAATAAGCCCGCACCATCCACCAGCCTTTCAGTGCCTGCAGTCTGAATGGAAAGCCACTCTGCTCACCCTGAGAAGCCGTTTCAACATATGAAAGCAAAGGATTTATCCAACGTAAAAAGTCGCTTGCACAAATGCGTTATTGAGCATTGCCACAGAGGTTGTGGGACAGTCAGAGACGCCATCTCGAGTTTTTCACCGGTACAACCCCAGCTGGACTTGCTCTTCCCCACACCTTACACCTTCGTGGTCGACAGCGCCACAAAACTTCTAAATCTCTGACTCTGTTTCCCTTTTCTGGGACCTCTTGGCATCTCCCTCTCTCCTTTTCAGAATACCGTAGTTCTGTCCTAGCTCTTGCAAATGGCAATCCCCTCCACCAAGTAATGTTTCATAGTGTATAAAACACACTATTTCCTTAAGTTGGGGTTCAGCCACTATAACCAGATATCACGTGTGACAATGCTTTCGGCCTTCCGGGCTCTAGATTCTAGAATATTAACTCATGGGGTAAATTCTCGAGGTCCTCAGCCACAGTAAGAATGGCTTCACCAAAGGCATTGGAATACAAAAAGAATCCTAGCTTAGGCTTCCTCAGCTCTGGAAAATATACTTCCATGTCCGTGGCCCCGTGAGCCTCTGGCCTCCCCGTGCAGGACTCAGTGCTAGCCGCCTCTTTCTGGGTGAATGCAGCATTTCCCAGTGTGCAGTGGATCAGCTTGGGGGGGACGTTTTGGCAGTCTTGGGAGATATCTTGTGTTTTCAGATGTTTGTCCATCTTTTCTCTCAGGTGTTGATTTCATAATTTAACTTTTACAAGGTGGTGGCACATTCCTCGTCAAGTTCTGGTGAAGCTTCACATGGTAACCGCCTAACTGCGATGCCTTTGAGCCAATAACAATCAAGACCAACAAGAGCAAGCTGGTTTAAGAAAAAAATCAGTGTACCCCCTGATTACAGCCTGTCTGGGTAGAGGCAGATTTATAAAACGTGGAAAGCGTGATCTTAATCAGAACTGACAGTACCAGCCAGCCTTCCTTTTGCCATGGTTCCTGTATTTATTTAGAAGGGGCTGGTGCACAGACCCATCCTGAGACCCTGATGACAGCTGAGGACTCTCTCCTGGGAAAAAAGCACAGCCTCCCTCTGCTCCCTCCACATGGGCACACACACAGACACAGACACACACACAGACACAGACATATACACTTGTACACACACACACAGAGACACACACATATACACACACACACAGACACATACACTTGTACACATACAGAGACACACACAGACATACACTTGTACACACACACAGAGACACATACACACACACACAGACACACACACACAGACATATACACTTGTACACACACACAGACACACAGACATATACACTTGTACACACACACACATATACACTTGTACACACATACACAGAGACACACACAGACATATACACTTGTACACAGACATATACACTTGTACACACACAGACACACAGACATATACACTTGTACACACACACAGACATATACACTTGTACACACACACACACACATACACTTGTACACACACACACAGAGACACAGACATATACACACACAGACATATACACTTGTACACACACACAGACACACACACAGACATATACACTTGTACACACAGACACACACACAGACATATACACTTGTACACACACACACACATATACACTTGTACAGACACACAGACATATACACACACAGACATATACACTTGTACACAGACATATACACTTGTACACACACACAGACACACACAGACATATACACTTGTACACACACACAGACACACACAGACATATACACTTGTACACACAGAGACACACACACAGACATATACACTTGTACACACACACAGACACACACAGACATATACACTTGTACACAGACATATACACTTGTACACACACACAGACACACACAGGCATATACACTTGTACACAGACATATACACTTGTACACACACAGACACACACAGACATATACACTTGTACACACACACAGACACACACAGACATATACACTTGTACACACACACAGACACACACAGACATATACACTTGTACACAGACATATACACTTGTACACACACACAGACACACACAGACATATACACTTGTACACACACACAGACACACACAGACATATACACTTGTACACACACAGAGACACACACACAGACATATACACTTGTACACACACACAGACACACACAGACATATACACTTGTACACACACAGAGACACACACACAGACACACAGACTACACTTGTACACACACAGACACACACACAGACATACACAGACACACACACTTGCACACATACACAGAGACACACACACAGACACACACAGACATACACTTGCACACATACAGAGACAGACACACTTGTACACACACACAGACACACACAGACATATATACTTGCACACATACAGAGATACACACATACCTACAGTGCACACTCATGCATCCACAGGCACTGACACACAGAGACACACACATACAGAGACACACAGACATACATACAGAGGTGCATACCAACATCACACACACACATCCACAGGCACTCTAACACACAGACACATGTATACAAATACAGAGACATATACATAGAATACACACATGTATCCACAGACACACGCACATACACACAGAGATACATACCTACAGTACACACTCATGCATCCACAAGCACTCATACATGCAGACACACACATACATACACGGAGACACACAAACATACACACATACAGAGATACACACATACCAACATCACACACACATCCACAGGCACTCTAACATGCACACAGACACATATATACAAATATACAAGGCACATATATACATACAACACACACGTATCCACAGACACACACAGGCACTCTCGCACACTCATATACACACCCATATACACAAAGATACACACATACCTACAACACACTCTCACAGGTATCCACAGGCACACATGGGCACACGCAGGCAAACATATATACATGGAGACACACATATACAATGCATGCTCACACATATCCACAAGCACTCACACACATTACTGCAGGTACCTTCAGTTGGCTCACAAACCCTTTTGGTCTGTCCAGGAATCACGGTGTTCAGACCCCTGCTGGAATGAGTGCAGGTGACCTGAAAAGTGATGCCCATGGCACCTGCTCCGTGACCTAGGGTTGCCCATCCCACAAGCACCGAGTGCTCACCGCCTAGGAGGCAGCATGAAAGGTGTAAGCAGGGCTGCCTAGGGCACTGACTGGGATTTACTCCTGTGAGTGTGTGTATATATATATTTAAAGTGAAGGTCGTAACTCTGGCAAGCACGGGAGTTATGAAACTTTTGAAACTCTTTAGTTTTGAGAGTTTATGATGTATAAATGGTACACGACGGAAATAATGTGGTCACATTCAGTCTCAATTATAGATGTTTCATTTTTTAGTGTATTTTTAGAATTTGAGGACTAGGAAACAGATGGACAGATTTTAAAGCTTTCTGGGGGAGATGATTGAGTTATCAGAACATAACTAGTAAATCAGTAATGGGAACATTCTCCATGACATGAGCTAAACCTATTTTTTAAAATTTTAATTGCAGTTCTAAGGGGGCCCACCCCTTCCATTTCTTATGAATGTCTTGACAGTTGCTGGCTCTGGTGCTGTGCAGCTGCAGTGGGGGGGCAGGTGGAAGTGGTGATAAAACCCCTCACACAGGCCAGGTGCGGTGGCTCACACCTGTAATCCCAGCACTTTGGGAAGCCGAGGCGGGTGGATCATGAGGTCAGGAGTTCAAGACCAGCCTGGCCAAGATGGTGAAATCCCGTCTCTACTAAAAATACAAAAATTAGCTGGGCGCGGTGAGCAGGCACTTGTAATCCCAGCTACTC